GTGCTTTGGTTTGAAGGGAAATTCGGCCACATGCCCCTTTATTAGTCCTGTCAACAAGACAGCCATCCTTTAGGCTTCTGCTGCTCCTGTCTGCAGAGGTGCTGAGGCCTGCTCAGGAGAGTGTGGAGTATCTTCTGGCTATTTGGTCTTCTACCCATGAGAGGCTGAGCCCCAGGGTGAGGGTGTCAGGAGAGGAGAACCTTGGGATTCTCTGGGTACCAGGACATTCTCTCTTCCCTAGGACCACACGATTTGCCTCATTCCCTGACTACCTGGTCATCCAGATCAAGAAGTTCACCTTCGGCTTAGACTGGGTGCCCAAGAAACTGGGTATGGTGCCTGGGACGAGGGAGGTTAAGCAGATAATGCTAGAACCAGAAGGGGCCTTAACACATGCAACCAGTGTTTCTCAGACTTTTCTCTGAAAGTGGAAAGAATTATCTTAAATGTTTCCCAGTATGTTTGAAAAACACTTGACTAAAAATATTAAAAGACTTCTTTGATTTTGCAGTTAAGATTTACAACCAAAGTGATTTCCATAATTTCATTTGTATAACTGGTAAAATGTTTTCATTTTGAGAATCTTGAACAATTAATTCTCATTGCTCTTACAGACCCCTGATGGCTATAAGAACTATTTGAGAACTACTGATTTAACTTCATTTTCTAGATAAGGAAGTTGAGATCCACAGAAGTATAAAATCACTCAGTCGCACAAGTTGGAGGTCCCATTCCTCGTCCGTAGCTCATTGTGGTAGATCTAAGACTAGAATCCAGGTCTCTTGACTCCCGGGCTCACTTTTAGTTTTATTACATTGGGATTTGTCTAAGATTGGTCCTGTTCTTAGTAGCTCCTTGTTACACAGCAGTTTCAAGATATGGGGCAGGGGCTTGAGATCCCTCAAAGTGATTTTTCAGAGGGGGCCTCAGGGAGCTGCTGAGGTGACCCTTTTCCTGCCATTCCCATTGCAGATGTGTCTATTGAGATGCCGGAGGAGCTAGACATCTCCCAGTTGAGGGGTACAGGGCTGCAGCCTGGAGAGGAGGAGCTGCCTGACATTGCCCCACCCCTGGTCACTCCGGATGAGCCCAAAGGTAGCCTTGGTTTCTATGGCAACGAAGACGAAGACTCCTTCTGCTCCCCTCACTTCTCCTCTCCAACATGTTAGTGACTCTTCCTGCTTGTCTTTCTCCGTGCTGATGGTGGGCTTCTTTGCCTTGCCTCCCCCTGACCCTGTCCTTTGTGTTTCTCCTGTCTTCCCTTCAAATTTCCTCTGTCCTCTTTTGATGGACCTGGGGACCAACTAGAGCACTCCCAGCCACATTCTCCATGTGGATGGCAGTAGCACTGGCTAACTGCCTCACTCCTGTTACCTCCTTGGTTGGGGGGTGGGGTGGGGTGGGGAGTATTGTGTTCCAGAAATAGGGCCATTCCATGAGAATGGACAGGGAAGGAGAGAAATGGGATCTATAGCCTCAGTTCTGTGCGTTTAGGATATGGACCTAACCTACATTATGTTGGGTGGTCACTTTATTTCTGGGTAAAGTTGAGGCAAATGCATGAAATGGGTGGTTGGGAAAGGGCTGGTGGGTGCACTGTGGGAGGGAGGAGGGGCAGGTGGTACCCCAAGGAGTCAGGTCACTGTGCCCATAATTCCCACCCTCCCTCCCCACAGCACCCATGTTGGATGAATCGGTCATCATCCAGCTGGTGGAAATGGGCTTCCCTATGGATGCCTGCCGCAAAGCTGTCTACTACACGGGCAACAGTGGGGCCGAGGCTGCCATGAACTGGGTCATGTCACACATGGACGATCCAGGTAGGCAGGGTGGGGCAACAGGGCAGGGCAGGGCCACCATCCTCCCCTCAAACACACTTCAACCCTTCCCATCCTGACAGATTTTGCAAACCCCCTCATCCTGCCTGGCTCCAGCGGGCCTGGCTCCACAAGTGCAGCAGCTGACCCCCCACCAGAGGACTGTGTGACAACCATTGTCTCCATGGGCTTCTCCCAGGACCAGGCCCTGAAAGCTCTGCGGGCCACGGTATGGGCTGCCCCAGCTAAGGACTTGGGGGCCTGTGGGGGAGGAAAGGGGTCAGAATGAGATGTTCGATCTTCTGCGAGTAAGACCAAGGGCAGTGGGAATAGTATGGCCAAGGCTGGGATTCCACCCTTCTGTAGCTGTGATGAAGGAGCTGAGCTTTCACTGGTCTTCTTGCCCCAGAACTTGTTAAGAAAAGTAACAGTTCCTTGCTCTCCAAGAACAACAGTTTAGAACGGGCTGTGGACTGGATCTTCAGTCACATTGATGACCTGGATGCTGAAGCTGCCATGGACATCTCAGAGGGCCGCTCAGCTGCCGACTCCATCTCTGAGTCTGTGCCAGTGGGACCTAAAGTCCGGGATGGTCCTGGAAGTGAGTGTCCCTGGGAAACAGGACAGAACTGGGAGAATCTAGCCAATCTGCTGCTCCAGATCCCTCATTCGAAGGCAGCTCTGCTTCCTTCAAGGGTCAGAGGGGTCAGAAGCTACCTTCCGTTAATGTGACTTTTTGAGGGTGGGATTCTAGGAGGCTGAGATAGCCTTTTGGCCCTGTACATGTTCTATATTCCCTGAAACTCATGTCCTCACTTTGAATTGCTAGATCAATCTTTGGACTGGCACTCAAAGATTCCTCACCCATTTTTATTCTGCCCTCGTATTTCTCCCTTTCCCTAGAGTATCAGCTCTTTGCCTTCATTAGTCACATGGGCACCTCTACCATGTGTGGTCACTACGTCTGCCACATCAAGAAGGAGGGCAGGTGAGGGGCTGTCAGTGTGCATTTTGAATGGGGAAGTGGTGGTGGGAATGAGTAGCAGCATTCTGGAAGAAGTCCTTAGAATATTTGTGATGGGGGCACAAATACATAGAGATTGGAAGAATGCCTTACAACAGGGAACAGCAAACTATAACCCAAGGGCTGAATCCAGCTACCTGCTTTTGTAAATAAAGTTTTATTGGAATATAGCCACACTTAGTCATTATGTATTGTCTCTGGCTGTTTTCATGCTGCAATAGGAAATTGAGTCGCTGTATCAGACCGGATGACCTGCAAAACCTAAAATATTTACTAACTAGCCTTTACAGAAAAAGTTTGCCAACTCCTTCCTTACAGGAATGGGTTGGGGGTGGTTGTAAAGATACTGGAGGATCTCAAGACACGGAGTAGGGGAAATGACCCTTGTGGGATTGGGAAGCTCCCTTCAGAGAAATAGCAGGTGGACTGTAGGTTTGGGGACCCAGGCAGACAATATTGGGAGCCTTTGCCCTAGAATCACCAGGATCAACTCTAGGGGCTGTGTCTTAGAGATTAAGTTGATGCAACTTGGAATGTTCATCTTTTCTGTCCCTTCCCCAGATGGGTAATCTACAATGACCAGAAAGTGTGTGCCTCTGAGAAGCCACCCAAGGACCTGGGCTACATCTACTTTTACCAGAGAGTGGCCAGCTAAGAACCCCTCCTCACCCCTTACCACTGGGGGCAGGGGACAGACCACCAGGCATGAGGGAAAGGGGCTGAGGGATGGACCTCAGCCCCCCTGCTCTATACCCTTTTTCTTTTTGTCCCCAGCAGCAGGGAAGAAGCTGGAGGCCATAGGAGAATGGCCAAAGGGAAGGGGGCACTCTATAGACTTTGGGGATAGAGCGGGAAGGGGAAGGGCGGGGCCAGCCACCTGTCTGTAAGAGACTTTGTTGCTTCCCCTGCCCCTTGAATCCACAGTGCTCTGCTTCTCTGTGTAATCTCGCCCAGCCCCCTGGTGTGTGTGGGGTGGGTGTTATTTGTGTGTGTGCGTGGGTGTAGCTTTGTGCATCCTCTTCCAGGGGAGGGAGCATCTGTGCCTTCCCTTCCCCTTTGTGTTTGCTCCGTGTGGTTGGACAAGGAGGGGTATGAGGGAAATGGGGACCCCCCTTTGCCCTCCTGCCTCAGTCTTTTCCTTGTCCTTTCTGAAAATGCCAAAATACATGATGTGAATAAAAGTACAATGGCTAACTTGTGTCCTGTTTGATACCTTGGGAGGGACTTCTCTTCCCTGGAGCTAGTGGGAGGGCCAGTTTCAGAAAGGTCCCAGCCCTGTTGCCCATCCCCATCCCCTCTACAGGCAGTTCTCTCTTTAATTTTCACTAGTCCTAGAGCTTTTGGAAAATTGGGTGTGAAAGGGGGATAGATCAGAGGTGGTCACTGGAGCAGGAGAAGAGAGAGGTGGGGGCAGGAGCAGAAAGGAGCTGACCGCTAGTTGGGGCTGTCAGATCAAGGAAGTGGAGTGACCTAAATGCAGAACATAGAGCTAGGAAAGGTGGGGGTGAAGAGCCCTTCCAGCAGTTACAGGAGGGGCCAAGTGGATATTTCTCAAATGTTCCTAGTGGTTGGGGGTCCCTCAGGCTGGGCCCCAGGTCCTTCAGTTTCTTGTGAGGCCTTGGCCAGCTGGAATGAAGAGTGAGATATCCCTGGGAGGGGGCTGCAGGCTTCTGATCTGCCTCTGTGGGCTGCCCTTTCTCCTCTGAACGTCGTTATTTGCCCAGCAACTGTGGGGCTGGACATTTCCCTGGGTAGGCCAAGGGTGCCTACTCTTCAGTCAAGGATGTAGCTTCGATACTGGAAGGGGTTCTCTCTCCCTGAGTTGGAGCCACGCCCCTCAGAGCTCCTCAGTCCTAGCGAGCAATTCGGCCTAAGGCCAAGTAGTAGCAGTGGTCTGGCCTCTCAGCCAGCTCCATTTAGAGCCACCCCTGGCCTTCTGGGAAGCTGTAGTCATAAAGTCGGGGTGCCCCTGAGCGCAGGGGCTCACAGTTCTTGCCTTCTCCTCGTAGCCAGGCAATTGAGGGTAAAGCGACCAAGTCCCCCGACGCCCCTAGAACGTTGCTACAAGAAAGGGGGGAACGTCAGAACCTTGCAACATCAGCCGGGCGGGGGCCGGCGAGCGGCAGGCGGGACCAGGGGGAAGGACTTCCAGGCAGGAGGCTGGGCTAACCATGGCTGAGGACAAGAAGGAGGCGGGGTTCTGCCTCACCGCGCTCTATATAAGCGGGCAGTGGCAGCGGCTGCGCGGTGGTACTGACCTTCAGTGTCTCGACTCTTGTGCAATGGCGCCCTCCAGGAAGTTCTTCGTGGGAGCGAACTGGAAGATGAACGGGCGAAAGAAGGGGCTGGGGGAACTCATCACTACTCTGAACGCGGCCAAGGTGCCGGCCGATACCGGTAGGCCCTCACCAGGGAAAGGCCGGGGCCAGGAAGCGGGGACGGTCGTGGCCGTGCCCTCGCCCGAGCTTCCTGAGTCGGGTGTCCGCGCGGACCTGGATGCATGGCCGGGGTATAAGGGCCGTTGGGTGTCCGGGCATTGATCCTACATCGTGGTTGCCTCGCGGCTGCAGTCGGGGGTGTGTCGAGGGGAAAAGGCGGGGCTCCATTTAATGGTGCCCTCAGACTCTGGGGCGGGAAAGGATTTAGGTCATCAGGAGGAAGATGGCCCCGGGGCGCGGACTGGGGCTGCACCAGCCAGGATCCGGGGGTAGGAGCGGAGCCCGAGCCCCCGTTGGCAATCGGGAGAGGCTGGCGACCAATGCGGGGGACGAGGCAGAGCGTGCGTGCAGGTTCTCGCTACCTGCCTGTTCCTCGGCCCCGGCTCCGTGCGCCGCGGCACGTAGCCCAAGACTCCTCCCCGCGCCTGTCTGGGTGCACGGGCCTTCTCGCCCCCAAGCTGCTTTGGACTCCGGAGCCACCCGCTCTGATCCTTTCCTTTCGGCAGCCTGGGCGACTCCTGCCTTCCGCGGAAGGGCTGAGCAGGTGTCAAACAGGCTGAGCCATTTGGGAATGAGAAGCGATCCTAGAGCATTCCCCAATCTGGAAACTGGAAAGCGGCAAGGCCTCTATGAGCTAGTCAACTGCCTGCCACCCACAGGCAAAGAATGCTGTCCTCTGCCCTTCCCCTCCCATCCCTCTAAATCACAGAACCACGGGCCTGATCAAAAGCGGTATTCCCTTCTGATTTATTCCCCCCAAAAACACCAATACAGACTCCAGGAATTGGCCTCTTCTCCTTTGCTAAAAATCCTTGCCTTGCTGGGGTAGGTGGGGATGTGCTATTTTAGAAGAAAGGCGGGGTTGGCCCCCAGAGAATGCTGAGTCTGGGAGGTGCCCATGCCCAGAATAGCCCCCGGGGAAACCGGAGCCACAGCTGTTAAAAGAGCAAAGGGCAGGGCTAGGGCCATGGCCTCTCAGGGGCACCTGGAAGACTTTAGGAGTTGGGTGCAGGCCCAGCCTGGGCTGGGAAGTAGACAGAGGTCATCTTGCTGGGGTGAAAAAGGGGGAAAGCAGAACTAAGGAAGAGAATGAAGGCTGGGGTGCTCTGGAACACTGGATGGAAACTCTGGAGAATGCAGGTTTCTTGTAATCTCATCCCCCTGTGCCTCCATCTCATCCGCAGAGGTAGTCTGTGCACCCCCCACTGCCTACATCGACTTTGCCCGGCAGAAGCTAGATCCCAAGATTGCTGTGGCTGCGCAGAACTGCTACAAAGTGACTAATGGGGCCTTTACGGGGGAAATCAGGTGAGATGCAGGCAGGAGAGAGGTGCGTGGGGACCCTTCCCTCACTTTCTTCACTTGAGGGGAAAGCCACAGGGTGGGCTCCTTCCTGAGTCATAGCTTCCTCTCTTCCTTTAGCCCTGGCATGATCAAAGACTGTGGAGCCACCTGGGTAGTCCTGGGGCACTCGGAGAGAAGGCATATATTTGGAGAGTCAGATGAGGTTAGTAATCAGGGTGGACATAAGAGATACCTTATGCCAAGACAGATGTCTCACCAAGCCTGTTCTCCTACAGCTGATTGGGCAGAAAGTGGCCCATGCCCTGGCAGAGGGACTCGGAGTAATCGCCTGCATTGGGGAGAAGCTAGACGAGAGGGAAGCTGGCATCACTGAGAAGGTCATTTTTGAGCAAACCAAAGTCATCGCAGGTATCTCTAGAGAAGGGACCTTTGAGCCTAGCCAGGGCTGCAGAGGGTGAGGTCAGATGCTTTGCAGCCTGACTTTGATCCCCATGCTGATCCAGGAAAGGAAAGGGGAGGGTGGGAGTCCTTGCATCCTCCCTCACTTCTGCTGCTGCCTCTGACAGTACAGTTGCCATCTGGGGTTCCTGCAGTAGCCACCAGGTGGCAGCAGTGGAAAGGGTGGCTGGATAGCTCCTTCCTGTTCACCCTCACTCTGTCTGTGATCTCCATCTTGCAGATAATGTGACCGACTGGAGCAAGGTCGTCTTGGCCTATGAGCCTGTGTGGGCCATTGGTACCGGCAAGACTGCAACACCGCAACAGGTGACCTAGCCCAGGAACCCTGTCCTTATCCGGTCCTGCCTGTTGATCTATATACCCCTCATGTTAAAGATAAGGAGCCCCCAAGTCGAGAGAGGAAGAGTGACTTGTCCAAGGCCACCCATTCCATGGCCTGGCTGGGATTAAAGCCTTGTTGTTCAGAGATCACACTTACTCTCTCCACTGGTGCCCAGTGTTTTTCCCCTTTGAGTGGGAAGTAGAAAGGGCTTTACTTAGTCTGGCTCTTGTTCTAGGCCCAGGAAGTGCACGAAAAGCTCCGAGAATGGCTGAAGTCCAATGTCTCTGATGCAGTGGCTCAAAGTACTCGCATCATTTATGGAGGTGAGTGGTTTTGGCCCCAGCCTGAGGTGGGGCGGGCTGAAAACTAGATCGAGCCCTCCTTAGACATGGGGTAGGGTTGGAGCGTGCCCATCTTATTCCTGATCAGTCCCTCTCTACTCCTTGCCAGGTTCTGTGACAGGGGCCACCTGCAAGGAGCTGGCAAGCCAGCCTGATGTGGATGGCTTCCTGGTGGGTGGCGCATCCCTTAAGCCCGAATTCGTGGACATCATCAATGCCAAACAATAAACCCCATCCATCTCCCCTCCCCCTTCCTGCTGAGCCAGGGACTAGGCAGCCCAGAAGCCCAATAACTGCCCCCCCCACATTGCTTCTGATTGTGTCACCTGCCTCCTAATGGCCTAATCCAGACTGTACCCTCCTTTGCTGTTTACACCTTCCCCTGTAATGATTGGGACCAGGCCGATCACTTCTTCACTTACTATAATGGTTGGAACGAAACATGTCACCAAGGTGGAAGGGGTGGAGCTTGCCCATGGATCCCCTCAGTCCCTAGTAGGGGCAGGAAAGAAAAACCTTCCTCTCTTACACCATGAGGTCAGGGGCCGAGAGAAAGCCCTGTCCTCCCGTCAGAGGCCAGGGGTGCTACCCTCTCCCATGATTCCAACACCTGTGTGTTGTGTGTATGAGGTGTCCCACGTGTGGCGGAAATAAACATCTGGCACAAAGCCTTGTGGTTTGTCCTTCTTTGCTATACTTGGCCATACAATCTCCTCTTTTTTTCCTTTTTAAGGCAGCCACAGGACCCTATCCCTTGTGTTAAAAAACAAACAAACCATGAACAGGTTTCTGTAACAACATATCTCTTATTATTTTCACTCAAAAAAAAGTCTTGCGTACCAGGCTGCCACATCCTTGAACAACAGCTCCCTTCCTTCCATACCCCTCTGGGTACCTCTGGGACTGCTCAGCTCCCCAGAATGTTGGGAATGTTGGAGTAGGGGGCCAGCCTCGCCTCCCCCAGCCTCCCTGGCTTTAAGTAGCTGGTCTAGGCCAGCAATGCTGGGCTCCCCATCCTCCACAAGGTGGGGTGGTGGCAAGGTCTCCCTGCACTGTCTGGTAGCAGAGGGGTCACTGGTAGAGCAGGTAGCGCTTCATGGCAGGGGGCAGGGGCAGAGCAGATACCTGGCCAAGCCGGGTGTCCCCCAGGGCATGGCGCACACACAGACGGCTCAGGTGCAGAAGGGAGTGTGGCTCCGCTGGGAGAGAGAAGGAAGGGAAGGTAAGTAGGGGTGCAGCACCAGCCAGACATCTTCAAACTACAGGGCCCCGCCCAGGTTCCCTTCTGCTTTCCTGCTCGAAACTTGCCCCAACCTTGGCTGAGGGGGAAATCTAAGGCACCCTAGAGTTCTCCATCTGCTCTTGGGGTGAGGGCATCACAGATAGATTTCACACATCCCCAGTCAGAGCTGGGAATAAAGCTCTAGCTAAGGCCCTCAAAGCAACAGGCCAAGCGCTTTGATTCCTGAGGTGCCTTGGAGCTGATGCTATGTGAAAGAAGGATCGTTCTCCAGCCTATAAAAGCTCACCATCGGTGATGGGAGGAGAGGCATCTACATGCTGCTGGAGACTGCAACCTCAGTGAACAGGTAAGTTCAATCAGCCCCAAGCCCTAGCCCCCGAGAAGGCTCCTCCCCAAATCCACTTCCTCTGCTCTCCCTCCTGGTGCCCAGGGCCCCCACAGCTCCATCCTGGAGGTTTGACTGAGAAAGGAAGTAGGTATGTGTCAGAGATGGGTCAGGGACCAGGTAATGTAACATCCTGGGTGCCTGGCACTGCCAGCACTCTCTTCCTTTTGAACCTGTACACCTCGCCCAACCCCCATTTAACACTTGCATCTCTTGCTCCAGGGGCAGATGCCTCCTGTAAAGCCCTAATCCTTGGAACAACTCCCTCCATTCTGAGGTTTCTCCAATTAAACTTGACAAGTTGCTTTTCCAAGTCTCAGTTTTACCTCTGTTGTTGTTGGGAGGTTAAATTAAATAACACCCCTTAGCCACGCCTAGTATTGAATAGGAATAGAAGGCGGGCCAGATGAAGGCCCACCCCCTCTGCTCTTGTAAGACGTGGAACTCCTATCCCAATTCACTGCCACCAGTGACAGAACCCTCTTCCCAGCGCCTGCCCCAGGCCTCACCTCTCCTTTCGCCCAGGTAGTGGATGCGAACCTGGCACTGGCCCCAGACAGCGCTTACTGCCGGATAGAGGGTCCTGCCCTTCAGTCCGTGGAAGGCTGGCCCCAAGTAGGTGCCCCCAATAGCGTAGCCCAGAGTTCCCTCCTCCATGTCCAGAACCACCAGCAGCCTCTCTGGAACCTCCAACTGTTCACCCTGAGGTCCGGCTGGATATTGGGGGGCCCCTGGCCCCTTGCTCTGATGGTACAGCTTTCCGCGACCAATGTCCCAGCCCCACGACTCGCTGTTGCTGCCCAGCAGCGCCGCATAGTGGTCAGCCTGGAGCGGGGCGAGGGCCGTGGCCACACCCACTACAGCATGGGTGCCCCTCTGCTCTGGCGGCCAGCTGATCTCCCAGGCATGCAGGCCCCTCGAGTAGCCTCGCTTACCCCGGGCCCCATCAGTGCTCTGGGCCACGGGCCGCCGCTCAAAGCACAACCCCCCTTCCTTGACCTCGATGTTCTCTGAGCAGTCCTTGGGGTTCCAGCCGTGGCGCCGTTGGGCCCCCAGGTCAGGAGGGGGCGCAGACAGCAGCTCCTCCAAGCCCTCGGGACAAGAGAGGTCAGGGCACAGGGTCTGTGGGGTGGGGGTGCTGCTGCTGCCCCCTGCCAGGGCCGTCTGGCCCATGGAGGTGAGGAGTTGGAGGATTCCTCAGTCTTGCTGGGGTGTCTCTCTTCTGAAAGTTGAGCTCCAATTCGGGACTGACCTGGAGCGGAGTTGGGAGAGACGTGAACCACGGAATCCTGGCGGGCGCGCCTCACCTCACCCAGGCACCCCATCTATTCACCCGCCCGCTTTTGGCCGCATGTTTGTCCACAGTCTGCAGCTCCTTCTCGGCTCCCCCAGGGCCCCCAGGCCCATTCCTCACCTTGCCCCCATCCCTCATCAGATCTCGAGGCTCTCGCCAGTTCGCTCCCTTTGGGCCTCTCCATGAGCACTCCCAATCGTTCCCCTTGCCCTCCCGCATCCCCGTCAACGCCCCCGAACCTCGGTCAGTTTCCCAGCCAGGTAAGTCTTCAGCTCTCAGTCAGAGCCAATCCGAGGGTTCCAGGGGCGCGCCAGGCGCTGACGGCCGACCGCTTCCGCCTCCAGCACCGCCCCCAGGCCACGCCACGCCCCAGGCCCCGCCCCCGGAGGTGGCCCTCCGGGACTGTTAACCCTCTCGTCGCCGCGCCCCGCACCGACAGCCTGCACCCGCGGAGATCCCTCCACAGCGGTTAACACTACCGAGGATAACTCAGCGCGCCACGAGACCCTGCTCCCGCAGGGGAACCCCCGAGGCGGTTAACCCTCTGATTACTGCCCCAGGCCTCGCCCCGCCCCGTGGCCCCGCCCCAGCGGGGGAGGCACTCCGAGGCGGTTAAGCAACCCCTCGCCTCCTCGGAGTCCGCACCTAGGCGGTCCAGGCTCAGAATTAACCCTTTGATGGCGTCGTCACCGTGGGATCCCTGGCGGTCTGTTCTCTCTCTTCAAGATCTTTGAGCTACCTCCGGGCAACCAACTCCTGAGCCCCTGGGGACGAGGGAGCATGGACCGAGGAGGGGCTTCCGCGTGTTTGGTATCAATTTTTATTTCTGTGCGTTTTTGGGTCACTGTTTCTGGGCTGTTCTGTTTCTGCCCCGGCTTGAGGGGCAGCCTGTGCCGTGTCTGAGGTTCTGAACTCTTATGTTTCAGGCTCTGAACTGCAGGTGTCATCGGTCTCCATTCTTTTCTAGTCTTCATACTGGACATCAATCCATTCCTGAGCTGTTGGTCTCATTCGGTTTAGTGTAGTGGTTAGGTGCATGATTTTGAATGAAGCTATGCCACTAATTAGCTGTGCGACCTTGGGGAGATTGCTGAACTTCTCTAAACCTGTTTCCTCTTATGTACAATGAGAAAATGATGGTATTTACATAACAGGGTTATTGTCGAGTTGAATAATCCATGAAATAATCCATGTAAAGCATTTAGCACAGAGCCTGGTATATAATACGTAGTCATTAAGTTTAACTGTTATTATTAATATTTACTGAGTGTCGACTCTATAGAAAGCAGTATAGTACAGTAGTGAAGAGTGCCAACTTAGGTGCCAGATTGACTGGGTGTGAATACCTAAGGGCCAGTACACATGTGACCTTGGGCAAATTACTTAACCTCCCTATGCCTGTTTCCTCCTCAGTAAAACACAGATAATGTTAGTATGTACTTTATAGGGTGGTGGTGTTCTTGTTGTGTGCCGTCGAGTTAATTCTGACTCATAGCAACCCTACAGGAGAGAGTAGAACTGCCCCATAGGGTTTCCTAGACTGCAATCTTTACAGGAGCATTGGATTGGAACCTCTGATGTTTCTGTTAGCAGCCGAGCACTTAACCATTGTGCCACCAGGGCTCCTTTTATAACAGTGTAGTGAGGATTAAATGAGGTTATATACGTGTAAAGGGCAGTGGTGTTTCAGTGGTAGAATTCTCATGTTTCACGTGGGAGACCCGAATTACATCCCTAGCCAATGCACCTCAGCATAGCCACCACCCGTCAGTGGAATTTTGCATGTTACTATGATGCTGAACAGGTTTCAGTGGAGCGTCCAGACTAGACAGACTAGGAAGAAAGGCCTGGTGATATACTTCGGAAAAATCAGCCAGTGAAAACCCTATGGATAATAAGGGTCCAATCCTGTTGTGCATGGGGTCACCAATGAGTTGAGGGCTGACCTGACGGCAGCTAACAATAACAACAATATATATCAAACTAACTTAGAATAGTTTCTGGTTCAAATTTAATAAAGTATGCTAAGCATCCTCAAGGTTACAAGGACATTTATAAAAGTGTCCTAGAGGAGATGACATCTGGGCTGAATCTTAAAGGATGACTAAGAATTGGCCCAAGAGGTGATTCTGCAGTATGGGGTCCAGTTAGGGCTGCTGCAGGTAGAAGGCATTCTAGACAGAGTGTAAGCATGAAAAAGGCAAGAAACAGCAGGTGGACTTGGGGAAGTACAAAGTCTTCAGAGCTGTTGTAGCAAGAAATGAAGCATGAGAGACAGGGCTAGACAGGTAGGTGCCAGTTTATGGAAGCCAGATGAAGGCCCAGCCCACCAAGAAGGTAAATGTTATCCTGTAGGACAGGCCAGGGATGGGGAGTCAGGATAGGAGAGCACCACAGTCAGATCTGCCTTTTTTTTTTTTTTGTGCTTTAAGTCAAAGTTTACAATTCAAGTTAGTTTCTCATACAAAAATTTACATATGCATTGTAATGTGACCCTAGTTGCTCTCCCTATACTGTGACAGCACACTCCTCCTTTCCACCTTGGATTTACCACATCCATTTAACCAGCTCCTGACCCTCTCTGCCTTCTCATCTCACCTCTGGAATGGAGCTGCCCATTTAGTCTCTAGTGTCTACTTGAGCTAAGAAGCACACTCTTCACAAGTATCATTTTATGTCCCATAGTCCAGTCTAATCTTTGTCTGAAGAGTTGGCCTCAGGAATGGTTTTAGTTTTGGGCTAACAGAGTGAGTCCGGGGGCCATTTCTTCCAGGGTCCCTCCAGTCTCAGTCAAACCATTAAGTCTGGTCTTTTTATGTGAATTTGAGTTCTGCACCCCACTTTTCTCCTGCTGCCTCAGGGACTCTCTGTTGTGTTCCCTGTCAGGGCGGTCATTGGTGGTAGTTCTTCTGGTCTCAGGCTGATGAGTTTCTGGTTTATGTGGCCCTTTCTGTCTCTTGGGCTAATATTTTCCTTGTGTTTTTGGTGTTCTTTATTCTCCTTTGCTTCAGGTGGGTTGGGACCAATTGATGCATCTTAGATGGCTGCTCACTAGCTTTAAGACCCCAGATGCCACTCACCAAGATGGGATGCAGAACATTTTCTTACTAAACTTTGTTATGCCAGTTGACCTAGATGTCCCCTGAAACCATGGTCCCCAGACCCCCGCCCCTGCTACTCTGTCCCTCGAAGTGTTTGGTTGTATTCAGGAAACTTCTTAGCTTTTCGTGTAGTCCAGTTGTGCTGATTCCCCTATAGTGTGTTTTGTCCTTCCCTTCACCTAAGATAATTCTTATCTACTATCTAGTTAGTGAAAACCCCTCTTCCTCCCTCCCAACCCACATAACCATCAAAGAATGTTTTCTTCTGTGTTTAAATCTTTTCCTGAGTTCTTATAATAGTGGTCTTATACAATATTTGTCCTTTTGCGATTGACTAAATTCACTCAGCATAATGCCTCCAGATTCCTCCATGTTATGTTTCACAGATTCATCATTGTTCTTTATCGTTGCATAGCATTCCATTGTGTGAATAAACCATAATTTATCCATTTATCCGTTGATGGGCAGCTAGGTTGTTTCCATCTTTTTGCTATTGTGAATAGTGCTGCAGTGAATTATGGGTGTGCATATTTGTGTGACGGCTCTTATTTCTCTAGGATATATTGCAAGGAGTGAGATTGCTGGATCATATGGTACTTCTATTTCTAGCTTTTTAAGAAGCACCAAATTGATTTCCAAAGTGGTTGTACCATTTTACATTCCCACCAGCAGTGTATAAGTGTTCCAGTCTCTCCAGAACCTCTCCAACACTTATTATTTTGTGTTTTTTGGGATTAATGCTAGCCTTGTTGGGGTGAGATGGTATCTCATTGTAGTTTTGATCTGCATTTTTCTAATGGCTAATGATCATGAACGTTTCCTCATGTGTCTGTTAGCTGCCTGAATGTCTTCTCTCGTGAAGTGCCTGTTCATATCCTTTGCCTGTTTTTTAATTGGGTTATTTGTCTTTTTGTTGTTGAGGTTTTGCAGTATCTTGTAGATTTTAGAGATTAGATGCTGATCGGGTTTGTCGTAGCCAATTT